CCTCTGGCCCCTATCCTCCACTTCTACTAGCTAGACGACCCAACCGAGGTCACATAGGAGGGGGGGGGCTGGACCCCCTTCTGCGGTTCCTGCCTGAGATATTGTTATCGCGAGAGGGGTACAGCAATCCCTTCCCTCGCGACTCACGAAGTCGATTATGGTTTACNCGGCAGTGAGTTGCACCTTGGGACACCACCCGCCTACTATATATTTTTTTTTCTCCCATTATCGGATTCTGTCGTCTCCCCCTCTGGCCCCTATCCTCCACTTCTACTAGCTAGACGACCCAACCGGGGTCACATAGGAGGNATGGTTTACTAACAACGAGCTTTGCAACGCGTCGCTTTCATCCTTGACCAGGATTTATTTAGTGAGAAAAAATCTCACTCTGCCGGGACTCGAACCCATGCCTGGCCCTTAGCAGGCTGCGAGGTTACCCACTAGACCACCGGGGCGACATATGTAGCTGTTGTGGCCTGGTTCGCCCGCGAGGGACTCACTAGGTCGATTTTGGCCCCGGCTGGGGAGCAGGCCGAGGTGTGTGTGGCTCTCCATCTCTGGACTCTCTCCTTTCCTCTCTCTGGGGCATACCCCCACGGNATATGTAGCTGTTGTGGCCTGGTTCGCCCGCGAGGGACTCACTAGGTCGATTTTGGCCCCGGCCGGGGAGCAGGCCGAGGTGTGTGTGGCTCTCCATCTCTGGACTCTCTCCTTTCCTCTCTCTGGGGCATACCCCCACGGCGTGCGGTCACTCCGCCACCCTCACCGTGCTCTCTGCTGCTGCACAGCCCCGGTGTCCAAGCCGGGGCGTAAGGATCCATCAGTATTTTCGCGTCAGTTCTTCTCCTCAGATAGTATGAGATCAAACAGTGGCATCACCTCCCACGAGGGTCGGTGTATCCACTCCTCGTGAATACTGAAGGGAAATGAGTGTCTCGGCATCTCGTACATATATATGGCGATTGACACTCATTTCCAAAGTCATTCACGATCAGCTTGTTGAAGAACAACTGAGCGAATATATCGCGTTTGGTGGGTGGGTGGTGTCTCAATAGAGCACTCTCTTATCTCTGTTTTCCTGTGGAAACAGGGTTGGCGGCGCATCTGACTGTCTCAAATATTGCCTCTTTATTGCGTGACAGCGCTGGGAAAAATTCCATATTTCCCATCTCCGTTCCTCATTATACATCAGTATTTTCGCGTCAGTTCTTCTCCTCAGATAGTATGAGATCAAACAGTGGCATCACCTCCCACGGCCGGTGTATCCACTCCTTCCCATACTCCCGAGTCCTGCGCTTGATGTCATATTCGCGTAGGGCTCGAAC